ATAGATCAATGAATTCGGATAAGCGTGAGGTGTAGCCGCCATTGTGTTACCGAAATTTACAGGATGTTGAGGTTGACCATAATAACCCATGGGTTGTTGAAATGCTGGATTCATCGCACGCTCATCAACAGGCTTTGTTGAGTATGAACTGAACGGAAAATGAGTCGCACCGGACGTCTCGGGAGCAGGAACTCGAGACCATGCTTCGGGCGATCCTTCAGAAGAACCGGGTTCAAGTTTCACATGTTGGAGGAGAGCAACTGGTAGATTCATACGACGATCCATTTGAAAACCGGTAGAAGATGAGGTGGACATGTTAGAATTATCAGAATTCATTGATCTATTATTACTGTCTTCAAAATCAATCCTGGGGGAGGGAAGATTTGTAGAAGCATCCAAAGGGGGAGAAGGATAAGCTGTTGGATTATAGATATAGGTTTGTTGAATTGGAAATGAGTTGTTATAAGCTTGATTAAAATAAGCAGGTTGAACCTCAACTTGTCGTTGATGCGAAGGAAGAAAGGTAAGATCAGTGAAAGAATTTTCAGCTTCTACGACTTGATTTTGTTGCTGGAGAAGATTCGGTTGTTTAAAAAGTTGTTGAATAACAGAGAAATTATAATCGGAATCGAGGGATGATAAATCGAAGAAAGTTGTGGGAGTTGTCATAATGAGAACGAAATGTAAACGAAAAAAATAATAATGATAATAATAAATAAATACAAATACAAATTGTGAGCGAAAATAAAAAAAATATTGGCAATTTTTCGTGCAATGAAAAATAGGCAGATGAACACTTTGTCGAAAAGGCTTTCTTATATCACTTAGATCGGTTAATTGAATTGAAATAAATCACCAATCGAAGGATTCCTTCCCATGTGCAATCAACGCCAAGCAAAGCTAAAATGTTACTACCTTGAGTTTTATACTTGAATCCAAGTAGGCGATATAAAGACTGCAATCTCGGATTTAAAGTCAACAAAGATTCAGGGCCGATATTTATATATGAAAGTCAATCAGATCCAGAAATGGTAAATGCGTGTACTCATTCGGAGAGTATATATATGAGGATTTTTTTAATTCAAGAGTTATCGATTTTGTTTATATAGCATATTTTAAATTAACTTTGAGAAATGAAACGGTAATTTTTTATGAAAATTTAAAAAAGCAAATGGAACGCTAATCTTTGTTTCACCAAACAACCAAGAATCAATAATAAAAATAGAATTTACCTGCTAAGTAAGCTACTTAAAATACAACACTTTGAAGGACAAATATCCGAGAAAATTGAAGTCGTGCAAAAAGAGTAAGTATGGAGATGAGGAGATCTTTGGATAATCTTACCTTTTATTTATATAATTTTTTATTTCTTCTTTATAGCGGTAAAAGTAAGAAAAAGAAGAGAAAAAAAAAAACCTAAAAAAAAGTTTTCATTAGATTTAACAAATTGTGAATATATGCGTACATAGGAATAAAAACATATTTTTGTGATACAAAGAAATGATACGAATGAGACGATAAGGTTAGTCTTAATAATTGAAGAATAGAAAAAAGTGGCACAACATAATATTTTAACCGGTTGTCTCTGGTTTCGTACTGTTTGATGCTCAATTTTCGGGGTAAAATTCACAAAGATTTAATTCACAAAGATTATTAGAATTGACCCTTAAATATTATCATAGATTTCATAAATACTTATATTTGTAAATCAATTTTGTAGTCACAAAATATGTACGTACATAGTAATTTCTCCGATCCTGTGATTCTTGTGATTCTGTAATATGTACGCTATTTTGAAAACCGCAATACACATACCAAAATATACCATAATATGAAATATATCAATCTTCAATTATGGAATGTTAAGTCGTGAAAAAATTTACCAAGAGAAATTTCACCACGATTCATACATAGTTAGACTCATGAAATTTTCATAATTAGTTATGCAAAAATTTTATATTGGTATTAGTAATTATTAGTAATTACACTTTTAGATATTTATTTACCGCGTGATCACTTGCGCTATATATAAAGAACGAAGATTTAAATGCGAGATGAACATACTTGCATAATGCACATCATATAAAAGATTTAGTTAGTGAACCCCACGAGCCCTGAAGCTGCTATAAACGGAATAGCCGCTCAACTGCTTCCATGTAATGTACAATATATGCGCACTAACACTAATTGAAAATTATTGAAAATTAAAATCAATCTTCAGTTTTCATAAAGAACAATTGTAACATCTACACTTACATTTTGATTAAATTAAATTAAATTTTATTGAAGGTTTATTCTAAATAACTGTCGTGGAAACAACTTTTGGAAAAGACAAATAATATTCACGGGTTATGTATAAATAAATAAATGCATGCTGTCTCATCAATTTAACTCAATTTCAATAATTCGCATAGTTCATTGGATCAACAGAAGAATACCAGAACATTATTTATCAGTTGCTAATTCTTCATTGTTTGCCGAAAATGGTTTATGTTGTTTCTATCACACATAGATTAACATTAATTCGTTTTTTCTATCTCTCTATTGACTTGCCAGGTATTCGTTCTACTTTCTTCTTAAATACAACGCATTATTAAAAGTATTTGATATGTTGTACAATATTTTATTTATTCGATTATACTTTTTTAAATAAAAACCTTATTTATGAAAATATTTAAACTTATTTGTAATTTATTATTAATATTATTAATTATTCTAAATACAGAAATACGCATCTTTACGTATTCACAAACTCAAATCCCTATTATTAATTAATTTCTATACAAATTTATATAATCTTATGATATAAAATTAATAGTTGCTATAATACTATAAAATACACTTAAAAACAGCTAGACTATCGGGTTCTATCTACATATCTATCTATCTATCTATCTATCTATCTATCTATCTTTATCTATTTGAGAATTTTATATAGTGTTGCTTATTTAAAATCCTCATAAATTAACTTTGAGAAATGAAACGGTAATTTTTTATGAAAATTTAAAAAAGCAAATGGAACGCTAATCTTTGTTTC